AGGACTGTGCTCTTCTGGACAGAGATCTTAAATGTTGTTGCTGGGATCTGCTGGAGCCACACACCTAGTTCTCTGATTACCACTGGGACCACTATTACGTTCACCCTCCACATCCTCTCGAGTTCTTCTCTGAGCCCATGATGCTTCTTTTTTTCCTTAATGTTGCTGTCATTCAGTATTGCTACTGAATGAATAAGTCCCACAGAATCTTAGCTCTGTCATTCTCCACCACCTTTTGTGGTCCCATTTTGACCTCGGGATTTCCAGGCCATACTCGGCACAGATGTTTCTGTATACTATGCCAGCCACTTGGTCATGGTGTTCCATGTATGTCATGCCTGCTAGCATCTTGCAATTCAATTTTTCAGTTCAATTCAATTTTATTTATGTAGCGCCAAACCACAACACCAGTTGCCTCAAGGCACTTTATATTGTGCCTTGTCGCTGGTACATACCATGGAGTGGTCTGGCTGTTCATGTTGGTTCCTCCACTTTCTTGGGTTTCTGCTGCCTGAGGTATTCATTCACATATTCATCTTCATGATGTATTCGTGGATGTTTGTTGTCTCATCCTGGACTGTGCTACTGATGCTCACTAGTCCCTGGCCCCCTTCCTTCCACTTAGCATACAGCCTTAGGGTTTCCTTGTGTTGATGTCGGTGGCTTCTATCTCCTCTTCGGCCAGCTTATTATCCCAACAGGGTACCTGATCACGGGCAGGGCGTAGGTGTTGATAGCCCGGCAAGACACTTTACCCTACCGCCTACTGGTGTTGGCCAGAGGGGCCGATGGCACGAAATGGCGGCCTCGCTTCTGTCAGTCAGCTCCAGGGCAGCTGTAGCTACAACCGTAGCTTGCCTCCACTAGTGTGTGAGAGTGAATGAATAATGGCATTGTAAAGCGCTTTGGGTGCCTTGAAAAGCGCTATATAAATCCAATCCATTATTATTAGTTCTGACTACTTTCTCTCTCTTTGTTATCATCCGACTACACTTCTCCAGTCTGAACGACATTCCGATGTCATTGCTGTATAGCCTGGTGGTGTGGATCAGTGAATCAATGTCTCGTTCACTCTTGGCATACAGCTTGATGTCATCGGGATCCATGTCCTCTACATTGCTCCATTCCGTAATTGGTATCCGTAGCCAGTCTTGTCAATGGTCTCACTGAGGAGGTTCAGGCCTATGCAGAACAGCAGTGAGGACAGAACATCTCCTTGGTAGCTATTCTGGGTGTGTCTCATCAGCTAGCAGCTGGTTGATTTGTACTGCCAGATGTTTGTGGAGTGCAGTCAGCTTCTTTCAGCCAGTAGGCGTGAACCATGTCAGGGCCTGGTGCTGTCCAACTCTTCATACTGGAGACCCTTTCTTGGATATCTGCCACCGTGATACCACCCTCATGTGTATGTGTGTATATATATATATATATATATATATATATATATATATATATATATATATATATATATACTTCCCAGAAATTAGAAATTTGGATATTGGATATGAAGACAGATGAGTATGACAGCTGGTAAGTAGCATGGCAGGCAGTGCTGGGAACAAAGTGAATTTTAGTGAATTTTATAAAGGTATCCCTGTGGGTTTAATCCAGCATGACATGTAGAGCGTTGTGAAGCCTACAAGGATTATTTTTGCTGGCCTTAGTTGGCCCACTCTCTCCTCCTCTTTGCCCTACTTTTCACTGATTCATGAAGCAGAGGCAGAACAAGAGATCTCTCTATATATGTATTGCAGGATTGCAGTGACAGATGGAGACAGTGGAAAGGCAGAGAGCCATTATTGTACAGAAAGACAGTGCATTCTACAATAAATGTTAAGAAGGTGCATCAAAACAAGGGTTTAGTAAAACAAAAATTTGCTATTAATAAGAGTAATTCACAGAGATTATACACCTCAGAGAAAACAATTCGTTCTAATTTAAACAGGATGTAACTAGATTGAATATGCAGTAGTTCCAGCATATTGTAGTCACTTAGTTGCATTCAAGCTGCTGAGACTGAGCTGCCATAGTGAGTGTCTAGTCACGAAATGAGGGCAACATATACTAATGCACCCCCACCCTCACAAACCCATGATGTCCCCATTTCCCCTGTCTATCTCCATCTCCCATCAGTAGCTCCAGCCCATGCTAGCCTGTATTTAAATGCTCTATTGCAGCACTGCTCTTCACAATTAACAGACATGTTAAATTATGACTTCTTTCTCTCTAATTTTGAAAGAAGGTTTGCAAGTTATAAAAGAGGCTGTCAGACTGACACAATTTCATTCAAGCAGGAGATACGATGGCAAATTCAAAGAGCCACTATGGATGTAGTCTAATCTTTTCTCTGCTGCTGCTGCCATCATCATCCGTCATCATTTCTGCTACACTGGCAGGGCTAGGGGCCAGGACTCTACTCTTTGGGTTTTTGGGGGATGATGCTAACTCTGCGTCAGATAACAGGCAACCCACCCACAGTAGATTTGCCCGGTGTGAGGTCTCGCAGCAAGCTATCAAATACGGCGCATTTCTCGGCTTTTGACAAAATGCTATACGTCGCCAGGTGTATAGCACAGTATCACCTTAAAGCACTTGTTGCAGGCTGCTGAGTTTGCATATTTTGCTGTGAAGTACAGCCAGACTTTGACCACTTCGCTTTGGGCATTTTTAATCTGTAGCTCTGCTCTAAAAGAACGTACATACCTGGACCCACCTACTACGCTCGCAAAGGTAAAATGATTGGCTGGAATCCAAAGTGTATGACATCTCAGGAAAAAAAGCACAGAAATAAAGCACTGAAATGTTCGCTGCTTTTCGGTCTGGTTACTACCGCATGCCATAATGGCACCGGGTACCGGTACCCATCCCTAGTCACATACTAATTACGTAACAGGATGCTCGGTCACTTTGCTATAAAGACGACCACACATATTAGGTCGTACTCCATTATAATGGAAAACCTGTTGATCTGAGTTGAGTTGTGTGGCGAGTCGATCCGATGCTCTACTAACGGAAAAGGGGCTTTTACTCTTCTCCACCCTTCTTGGCTGAGTGGGAATTGGTTGCAGGTCAGCGCTCATGGCCTCTATTCTTCCTATTTAGCGGCGGCTGTGACACCTGGCTTGCCGCTTCTTCCCAACTCCTCATTAATCACTATTGATACTAATAGAAAGCGAGCAGCCAGAAAATGGGACATTTGAATGCAACACTGGGTGCTTACATTTTAATCTGACGCTGGACAAATACAAGACTTATTCTTCTTTTCTTTCTTTTTCTTTTCTTTCGAACAATTAAAATTTCAACAAAACAAACACAGGAAATGGAAAGCATAAGAAATTTCCAGCAAAAGGATCCATAAAGCAAAAACAGAAGGTGTATCAAAGGAAGAAGCAGTGGCTTATCGGGTCCTGGCCCTAAATTTAACTACAATTTTGTAACCAAAATGGTCATGCATACAAACACATACACATACATCTGTCTATTGACAATTTTACCCTGGACCCCCAGAGGGTTAAATATTTTTTTAAAGTAACGCAACAGTTACTTTTCAAGTAATTAATTATTTTTGGAATCGTGTAACTCAGTTACTTTTTTGAAGAAGTAACTAGTAACTATAATTAATTACTTTTTCAAAGTAACTTGCCCAACACTGGTCATCGCTATTTGTTGAAATTTGTTTTTACATTTATTAACTATTTCTAGTTAATAATAAATAATTATTAACTTTCTTCTACAACTTCCAGTTGGATTGAATTAGGATTTTCTGGTCACAGTCCTCACCCACACTGTTCTCCTCAAGCAGGGTATTTTTTTAAATTTCCTTTGCCAGTTTTGGACCCACACTGACAACGAAATCATTACCTGTTATCATTATCTGTTAACCACTTCATTCCTATTTGTAATAACCATGTTTGTTCTCTGAAAAAGTCTGGGTAATTAGCTTTGGTTTGTTTGTTTATAATAGTCCATGTACCTTTTGTGTTATTCTTTCGATCCTCTGGCATTTTATTATAATGATCCTTATTACACTATTGACGGCTAAACACAGTGCAAAGAAAAGAAAACAAAAGGAAAATAAAGACTAACCTAAAAAATGGTAAAACAACTAAAACCTGAAAACGTGATGAGCTGAGACATAAAACATAAATATGGACAAAGACAGTTAAATGTGGGATAACTGAGCTTGACGTATGACAAATATATGATCCAACAACAAACAAAGGGAAACTAACACAATATATACACAAACAGTAACGAGGGAGGACAGGAGAGAAACACAACTGGACCTAATCTGACATAACAAGACAGGGAGGAAGCAAAACTGTAACACTAACACAGGACACGGGATGAGGACGAAGACACACGAGCTTAATACTGAGATTGTGGGAGAAACTGACATGGGGGCATGACTGACTTGGGAGACAGAGCGGGTACATGGAACACAGAGACAAGAGGAACAAAATGAGTAACGTGGAACACAGGGAAAGTACTTTGGAAGTACTTTGGTTGTTTCACACTGGTTTAAAGCTAACGTCTGATCACTAGGTGACATTCCAGGCTCTGGTTTAAACCTCTGATGTATTAACTACCAGAATATATATCAGTCATTAGTGCTCTGTGTCTCACTGGTGGTTCTTTATCTCGTAGGCCATCCACTTCAGTTATTTTACTGTTTGTCATTTGAAGTCACTGAATGTTGCTCACTACATCACTGCAAATCATTTCCAGTGTGAACAGAGCTCAACACACACAGTATTTTATTGCAGTGTAACTTAATTTTAATTCTAACGCCAGGCTTTTTGGTTTTTGATTATCTCCAGAGGTACTAATGGATTCAACAACAGCAACAGCAGAACTGGGCTGGACCACCTACCCATCTCAAGGGGTGAGTAGAAAAATCAACACACTAGGAACAATGTACACAGTGTAGATAAGCAGTCAAAAGTTTGGACACACCTTGTCATTTAATGGTTTTTCTTTATTTTTACTACTTTCTACAATGTGGAGGCAAACTGAAGACATCAAATATATGAAGCAAGATATATAAAATTATGTAGCAAAGAAAAACTGGTAAATAACTCTAAATATGTTTTATATCACAGATTCCTCAAAGTAGCCGCCCTTTGCTTTGTTGACAGCACTGCAAACCCTCGGCCTTCTCTCAGTGAGCTTCATGCTGTAGTCACCTGAAATGGTTTCACTTCACAGGTGTGCCTGTCAGGGTTCATTTGTTGCCTTCTTAATGGGGTTGGGACCATCAGTTGTGTTGTGCAGCAGTCAGGTTGGTACACAGCTGACAGCCCTATTTGACAACTGTTAGAATTCATATTATGGCAAGAACCAATCAGCTAACTAAAGAGAAACAACAGTCCATCATTACTTCAAGAACTGAAGGTCAGTCAGTCCAGAAAACTGCTAAAACTTTGATTGTGTCCCCAAGTGCTGTCGCAAAAACTGCATTTCTTCTCACTAGAAGTGCTACACCGAAACTGTCTTACATGAGGACCACCCCAGGAAAGGAAGACCAAGAGTCACCTCTGCTGCTGAGGATACATTCATCCGAGTCACCAGCCTCAGAAATCACAAGTTCACAGCACCTCAGATTCCAGTAGCAGACACATCTCTACATCAGCTGTTCAGAGTAGACTGTGTGAATCAGGCCTTTATGGTCAAGACAAAAGGACCAACAAGTGCTCAGTATCTCTGGGAACTCCTTCAAGACTGTTGGAAAACCACTTCAGGTGACGACCTCATGAAGCTCATGGAGAAAATGCCAAGAGTGTGCAAAGCAGGAATCAAAGCCAAAGGGGGCTGTTTGGAAGAATCTAAAATATAAAACATGTTTTGAGTTGTTTCACACTTTTTTGTTTACTAAATAATTTCATATGTTTATTCATAGTTTTGTGTTTATTCATAGTTTTGATGCCTTCTGTGAGAATCTACAATGTAAACAGTCATGAAAATAAACAAAAAACACCATTAAATGACAGCACCTGGAAAATATGCACATGGTAGCCCACTTACGTGGGTCTAACCTTTTTTTAATTTTATACTTTAAACTGGAGGTCAAACATATGCCATTGGTCCAAAATCAGCTTTCTGAAGAATCAAGTTCAGCACACTGTGTAGAAGTAATACTTCATGTTTATCAATAAAGTAGATTAATATTCTTGTGCTGGTATCCAGTGATACCATCATTACTGCACAATCTTTAAAACTGCATCTTTATTAAATATATTTGATGTTTGATGACATGAAAGTTTTAAGTGTGAAGAATATGAAAAGTATGAGATCAGGAAGGGGGGAAATACTTTTTCACTGTCCAAAAAATTCCAAACCAAGCTTTAAAAGTTGTAGAATTTCCTTTAAGTCACCTTGCTTGCTACATCCAAATATTGATAGCATGCTGGTATTGGTATCGGATCAATGCTAACATGGCTGGATCAATACTTTGTTTCTGTCCTCCAAGCTCAGTATGTAGCTGATACTCAATTGCGTTTAATAATTAATTTTTTTCTGCAAATGAAAAAATATATCTCAAACATGCCCTGTGAAAAATGTCTGAACCTTTATCTGCTGACTGTCACATCTATGTTATTTAACCAAACTTAAACAATAGAAGTTGACCCAATGTGCCATACAGATGGGCCATTTGATTTCCAGATCTCCAAAAATCCCAGTTTCAAAATATACGAAAAGCTGAAAAGTGTGTTTTACTCTATTAACTACTTATTATGGAAAATAAAAATCATAGGGATTTAGTGGTGATTAAAATGGGTTGCAAACTTCTGATGAGTGACTTGTAAGTGACTGCTCTCCCCTCTATAAGCTGCCTTGGGTTAAAAGTATCTGTGTTGGTATCAGCAGTACTGGCTGACTCCACTAGCTTCTTCTGCTTTTGGATTGTTCCAAGTTGCCTTTAATGTTTTAGTGTTTGCATGTTTGTCACTTTATCAGTAGCTCTGTTTCTTGGCTCTCTTCTAGTGGGAAGAAGTTAGTGGATACGATGAAAATATGAACACCATCCGAACATACCAGGTGTGCAATATCTTTAATAGCAGCCAAAACAACTGGGTCCGGACCAAATACATCCGTCGCCGTGGTGCTCAGCGTATCCATGTCCAGATGAAATTTTCAGTACGGGACTGTAGTTCCATACCCAATGTCCCTGGCTCCTGCAAGGAGACCTTCAACCTCTATTTTTTTGAATCTGACTTGGATAAGGCCACTAAATTATACCCACCCTGGATGGAAAACCCATGGGTGAAAGTGGACACTATTGCAGCTGACGAGAGCTTCTCTCAGGTCGATCTCGGTGGCCGCATCATGAAGATCAACAGTGAAGTTCGAAGCTTTGGACCTGTTTCCCACAATGGCTTCTATCTTGCTTTCCAGGATTACGGTGCCTGCATGTCACTCATTGCTGTCCGAGTCTTCTACAGGAAATGTCCCCATATAATCCAGAATGGAGCGGTTTTCCCTGAGACACTGTCAGGAGCAGAGAGCACCTCTCTTGTGGCAGCCAGAGGAGTGTGTGTTCCTAATGGGGAGGAGGTGGATGTACCCATCAAGCTGTACTGTAATGGGGATGGGGAGTGGATGGTACCTATTGGTCGCTGTATGTGTAAAGCTGGATACGAGGCTGTGGCGAATGGTACAGTCTGCAAAGGTAAGAAGGAATGTGTGAATGAGTTCTTATGAGATGTGCCTCACTAGACTGTTCTATGGCTGTGCCCTATCATATCGCTTGCAGTATGTGTAAATTTTACATCAAATGTCAAATTACTACATCGTTGTGTTTTTAGCATCTAAAATTTAGCTACTTCAAACAGCTCCAGCAAATCACAATACTTTGCAAAATATGAAAACTGTTCTTGCTAAAGGTGGAAAGATGAGTGTTTCACACACATGAGATAAAAAAATGCAGTTGCATCTCCTCCAGCTACGAAGGACGAGATGCTGATCTGCAACCCAAACGTAAACCAATGGCTCAACTTGGTCGAACTTGCTAGTTGTGCTCCATAATGTCAGGAGGAGCAACAAATAAAACAAAAAAGAAGAAGAAAATAACGAAACAAACTGAAGTCACTATCACAATTTTTCTTGAAATATTGTGATATAATGTTGAGCCCATCATGCCCACCCTGGCTCTGTTCACAGATGAAGAGCAGCAAGAATAAACAAATAGTTTTATATGCATAGTGATGATGTTAGTGCATCTTGAAATGAACCGGCTTAAAGTAACTTAAGTACAACGTTTTTCATTCATTCTGTAATCAAATGTATATATACAGACAAAAGGTACTTTATTTTAGCTGTACAACAGATTGTCACCAGGGCAACACTGTGTAAGATAATGTAAACTACACAGTTCCCCACCTGAACTCTGAATGTGCTTGAACTGCCCAATAATCTGAGATTAGAATATTTACACTACACTACTTCTACAGAAATTCTTAAACAGTACATGAAGGATTTTCGTTTATCCAATGCTTAGTGTTCACATCATCCCACTCGTAAGGATTAAAACTTTTTTTCACCTGTACACTACTATTCTTGCGTAGACTTTTAGTTTGTAGCCCCATTATGATCGATATCCCAGACCGTCAGACATTCATCACAGATTCATTCTATTAGTATCAGTGGTCATGCACCAGTGTCTTTCTCTTTGACAAAGAAAGTGACACCACTAATTAGGATTGGGAAGTTAAATAAATCCTTATGTAAAGAATAAGATTTCATTATTATTTTCAAAAGGGAGTAGGCAATTTACTTAAAAAATAGTGGGCTCTTTAGGAAGCAGGAAATGTAGTAATGTGGCAGAAAATAATATATTGCTGTTCACATAAGAAAAATAAAGAAAGAATACCTTTATTAGAATTGGAAGAAAAAATTACAAATCCATTAAATCATTAGAAGCTGCCTATGTTGCCTCAGACTAGGACAAAGTGCCCTGGTCAGTCTTTGTGGAAATGGTGCACAGTGGCACTGCTTCAGGATATTACACTGCATAATTCACCACTAATACAAAGTGATATTCTCGTGCATTCCGGTGAAGTGGCTCAATGAAATCCAATGCCAATATGCTCAGATGAGACCTCCATGCAAGGTATTTTCCAAAGGCACTTCTGGGATAGCCGCCTGGTTCCCACATTCTCCCTGATGCCTGGCCAATAAAAATGGGCCATGAGCTGTTCCAGAGTTTTGTCATATTTCCCTGCCATGAGGTTATGATAAGCTACCTTGAAAATAATTTCTCTGCAGCTCTTTGTGACCAACAGCTGGCTGCGTTTCTCTTCCATGCAAGTTTCACAACTCACTCGATACATTCTGCCTCTAATCAACACAAAATGCAGGTAGGTCAGCGCTATGTGGAGTAAATTATTGGAGTAGGCGGGGCCTCCAGAGAAGATGCTGTCTCCTCCTCCCCAGAGTCAGCTTCAGACAACCTCACGTTACCTGACTGTAGTACAAACACTCCACCTTCCTGTGGGTTGTGAACACATCTGCACATTCCAGCCAATCTGTTCCCAGAATGAAGGGATGCGTCAGATGTGACCTAACCACCATCTTGACTCTGTGTGCACCTGTATTTAATCTTTAGCAGTACTGTGGGATATTTGTGTATGTCCCCATGCACACACCTCCTCATCAGACCGACATCTTCCACTGCTCCCTCCGATCCTGGCAGTAATGCCAGTGAGAAACCAGCCCTAGCAACCAGACTCTTCAACATCCTTGTCTGGTGCTTGGACTGGTCCTGCAGCTAGTCCAACTGTCAGTGATGCACCATTGCCTGCTCCTAATACATGATTGCCACCAGTTAGGCCACAATCCGAGCCAGTGTCTTGACTTGTTGAGTTAGTCACTGGTCTGACTGACGTGACCATGACAATAAAAATATAGAAAAAGCATGGCAAAACACATGAAAACATTGCCATTTTAGCATAACTCTGTCATACTTACTCACTTGCTCTCAAACGTTGCCTTCACTGCTGTGACACGGTGCTTGAGATGACTGACTCCGATAATAACTTTAATATCACTGAAGAGAGCAGAGTTGCTGTTTTCGGAAATTTAGAATTCTTCAGATTGTGCAAACTGTTCAAGAGTTATGGCAGTTTAAAAATAAGCAAAAACCTGTTGGTGGGAACTGGTTATAAGGGTTAATGGGTTAACAACATCACTACATTGACGCCGAAGAAGACATCTAGGGTGTACGTCTTGTGTTCTGCTCTTTTCAACCTACAACGTTCATTGTGTGCAACGCAGACAATGCCCTGCCGAGCTGAATAGGACAGAGGAGGGGTGTCAAGAGAGGTGGGACTAAAAGAGATTAAAGTTCCCCTGGTTTACCTCTCATTACATCAGAGAGAAAGTAAAAGCGTAAAAGGGTTTAATATCGAGTCTTATATGTTAAAAGTGATACAGAGTGCTAAAAATAGAGTTTACCTATATGAGAGAAGTGGTATTAAGTATGTTGTAATTGTTAAACACAGAATCATAATTTATAAGTGATTGTGCTAATAGTTAATCTTTTTTAATTCTTAATAACAATCAGAATGTAATCAGGTATAAGTTTAACCAATATAACAAATAAGAAAATAAAAACTATGAAATGATTCTACTAACACGTCTCTCACTGAGATTCCATATGGAGTGACTTATTTGTGCAAAGATGGCCTTGAATGCTGTGAGAGTGTGTAAGAAGGAAACTTGAGAATACCAGGACTGACAAACACAGAGTTGTGTTTGTCAGTCTTTTATTTCTGTAAAGAGAAAAAGCGAGAAAAAATATTTGTGTGTAACCGAGTTGAAAAGAAATCATATTAGAGTGGATATTCATGTGATTGAGACAATGATAAATCCTGTTGAAGTAAAATAGCATAAACTAAACTAAAGACATGACAGAAAGTATATTCATATTTGATTTAATGTTCATATGTAGTGAAATTATGTACAACAAAGACAAGAAGATGTGATGAGGGAGGGGAAAGATGAGGACCAGGTATACCAAGTATAAAAGTTTTGTGCAGAAGAGATTAGTTGTTCATTGCTTTGTCTCCTGCGAGACGAGCACTACAGATGATTGGATCTAAGATTTTACAGTTGGAAGTTTAAGCAGAGATACCAGAAGGATCAACCACTGCCAAACTGTGGACTTTTTCTCTGCTTATTAGATTCAAGAGGATTTGAATTTCCAGGGGATGCTTGTTGGAGTATATCAACACAGAACACAGAGATAAGTGCATTTTCAGGCCAGGGTGTGCCTTTTCTTTCATTAGTCTCTCTCCTCTCAAGATCATTATTAAAATCAGCATTAACTCAACGCAGGTCAAAGAGATAAGTAGAATTCAATCGATTTGATTTTGTGAGCAATATTATTTGCTTTGCTTTTGCTTTTACCATTACTGTTTATGAAACAGTAATGGTAAAGACATGCATATCACTCAAAGAATCCTTACAGGTTACTCTAACCTTAAAATGAACGGATCCTTGGGCCCACTTTTTCAGACCACTAAATTTTACCCAGTTAATAAAGATTTAGAGGAGAGCTGGTAATAATGGGTGTGACTGAGAGGAGATTTGAGCAGAATGCCATTCTGACAAGCACGCCTTCAGAGGAAGCAGGATCAACATCTGCAAGGTGGAGTAGCAGTTGGAGCTAGGCAAGTCTCCTCCATGGCTCCATCCAAGCTCTGCATAGCCTAATCAGAGATTAGTACTTTTTAAACAGAAAAGAACCTTTATATATTGGGAAGGCCCGGTTGGGATCCAACAAAAGTAAACATGTTGCCTCAGAGCTGCAGCCACAATGTATTGATTGAAGATTCAAGAAGTTTATTGTCATGTACACCGCAAAACACAAGTGGTTACACAGCGCAATTAAATTCTTACTTTGCAGGTTCCCTTCACACGACTAAAAGAAAGTAATAATAAATAAAATAGTAAAACAGTGCTTTGTAGATCTTGTAGCTTATATGTGGGTGTACACTTGCAACACTATCACAGTGATAATATATGCAGAGTATGCAATATAAAGGTGTATATGTTGATATATGTATAAAAATTGCAAATTTACAGGCTAATATTAATGAATTACAGAATTGCTATTTTACAGGTTAGGTGTAAGTACAGTTGTATTATGCTGTGTATAAATAAGTGTGTGTGTGTGTGTGTGTGTGTGTGTGTGTGTGTGTGTGTGTGTGTGTGTGTGTGAGGGGGGGTCTGTTTAGGCCAAAAGTGTGATTTCAGAGTATCATTATTTATTTAACAAAACCTAAGCCAAAATGCAGAAGCAATGTGTTAAAAACTAAGAACACTCTGTGATTGAAAAACCTTTAGATTTGCTTACTATTTGCTTGGTCGTAGCCTTCAGTTTTAATTATTATAGAAATGTTATAGATGTTACAGTCATAAAAAAGGGATGGATGTCTACCAACTGGAAGGCTGATGAATCGATCCGTTGTCCTTGTGTCAAAGTATCCTCAGTTGCCCTCGATGTGAATGTTAGATAGACCTGCTTGCATATAGATCAAAGATCTGTATGAATGTCTTTCAGGGGAAGGGACTGACAACAAACCCTTTCATATCAGAAGAGAGACGTAGCTGACAGAGAGCAAACACCTGAGCGAATCATCACAGTGTGATTGGATGAGTGAGACTTGT